GCCCTCCCTCTTTACCTGTATTTGAGACAATCGGGGCTTTCATGCACACGCAGAACATACGGCGCCTGCACAACGGTCTGCCGAGCACCTGGAGCATCACGGATGGTACATATGCGTGCGCATGCTGCGCTCGTGCACATGGTGGACGCCCAGCCCCCTTACAGCGTACCGGTTGCAACGGTATCCAGAACCCACCTCTGGTTTGTTAGAATGTTGTTGCCTGAGGAGTGGGGGCTTATTGGGTGTTGTTTTATTTCTTTGAGCTTCCTGATAAACAAAAGTCTCTGTAGATTTTGCTCTGCTAGACGTTGCCATCTCTAAAGGGCAGTGCTCCTCTCCATTTCAAGGCCATTGAGTCAGCGTTGTCAGAAGACATTTCCACATTTTTCATTTTTTTTCATTGAAAATGAAAATGGAAAATAAAAAACACATTTACATTAGAAGACATTTCCACAGTCATGCGGCCAGCATGACATCACAGAGCACTGTTGCTTTCCCACCAAAGTGATACCTATTTATCTACTCACACATGTGTGCTTTCAAATTGCTGGTTGGCAGGAGTTGAGGGGTGGACAGGAGCTCACCCCATCATGTGGCGCTTGGGTCTCGAACCTCGTCTGTGTTTTTTCCAGCCAACAAGCCCAGCATTTTAACTGCTGAGCCACCACGCCTCCCCAAGTCTCCTGGGCGGCCATATAAATTTGCTTAATAAATAAACCAATCTACCAGTGTATGAATTGGCAATAACTGGTGAAAGAGAGGCAAACATTAGTTTCCATTTCCCAGCTAAGAGGCCATTTTAGGCTTTGCTAATCCATCTCCATTAGATTATCAATGAGAGGTAAGGGAGGGGTGGGGAGAGAGACGAAAAAAATGTGTTCTTGTGAGTTCAACTTGAGTTGTTGAGAGTTCTCTCCTGGCAAGAATGTGTTCAAGCAGTCTCGTTGTAGCCAGTTTGGCGAAATATGCTGAGCCTCCTATGTTGGATGTTGTAAATCAGCGAAGACATTAATTCATCCGCACACAAGAATTATTTACAGTGCATATGGGTCTTTTGTACAGGTGAAAGTAAACATTCTTGATAGACAGGAATTCTCCTTGGACCGAAAGTGCAGGGCTCACCCAGTTTAGAAGATATAATTTCTATCCTAACTTCCCAAATGCCTTCACATGTGGGCTTCCTGACATGTTCTAATGAAACTTTGCCAAGATTAGCTGTGCTTCCAAACTGTGCTTTGCAAACCTCGAAGCATGCTTTCAGTTCATAGCTATCAACATGACAATATATCTACCTTTTTTTCATCTGAATGCCGTTGCCAATTGTGATGACAGAAGACTGAGAAATAGAAGCAAGGAAGGGAAAAGATAGAGCCAGTCAGCTTGGGGAATATCCCCGTACTTCCAAACATAATTTGTGGGGTTGGATTTCTGCCATGAAGTTGAACTAATCATAGTAGAAAAACAGTGTTGCGCCCGACTCCTTGTACACCACTTGCACTGAATTGCTCATTTAGTGACTGTTCAAAGTTACAACGGCCACTGAAAACAGTGACCTATGACCATCTTTCATACATATGACCATTGCCACATCCCCATGGTCACATGATCAAAATTCAGATGCTTGGCAGCTGGCTCACATTTATGAGTCTCGCTTAGCAATAGAAACATGGAGCTTAACTGTGGTCCCAAATTAAGGACTACCTGTATATGGTTTGAAAATGAAGTAGAATGAAAAGTCTTATTTTTAGAACTTAAACATAATGGACTTCTCACTAAGCTCACTTTGGGCCACAGGCTTTAATAAGCATTATTTTATGAAAGAAGGAGGGAGGACAAGATAATATTTTATGTTTTTAAAATTAATTAATTTATTACCTATTTTAAAAAAAAGAATTGAAAAGTAAGAAAAAGTTGCACTGACAAGCAGCATCAGTTCCACTCTCTCCCCAAATGCCCATTTCAGCTCAGGAATGGACCTGGCCTGTCCCATCATCTGCAAACCTTGCATTGTCATTTGGTCATTTAGTTATATTTCCTCTCCACTTGTTTCCTGGGTTATTCTAGTTCTTAATTTTATCAACACTTTGCGCACTGTAGCTTGTATCCCTAGTAGTTGATTTGTTTCTGGCAAAGTTCTCAGAACTGCTCAGCTCTTGTTTCATGAGATAAATTTAAAACCAGACTGTTTAAAGATCTTGGAATTCTGGAACAAGCATTTCCCCACTAATGTCACAAAAAGACTAATTAATCTGGTAACTTTAAAAGGAACATAGACCCCTTTTGATGTCACAGAACAACAGGCCAATATAACTAAGAAAGGATGGGAAAACAGGGGGGGAAATAAAATAATACTGAAACAAAATGAAGGGGATTGAAAAATTAGCAAAGCAGATTGACAACTTTCACCAAATAGCTAATTTAAGATATATTTTTTTCTTAATTTTCACTGGTATTTCAGTGAACAAATATCAGTTATTTGTTTACTGAAGGAATCAAGTGGGTGAAGCCATAGCTTTGAATCTTACTGGTCTTATTCTACACCACCTACTTGGATTCCTTAGGATTAATGTGTGCCAATCACTAAAAACATTATGTAATCAAATATTTTTCCACAATAGTTTTTTGTTCAAGAAGAGCAAAACGTTGGGCAATTCAAGGAAAAGGTTCATAGGTTCAAATTTTCTTCTAACTGAATTTGTTTTGTTTGCCTGTTTTTAAAGTTGGAATGAGCTGGATTTTCTTTTGGCTTTCATTGGTATAAGCCCCATAATTCTAGTGATAGTGTTTTTATACCTTGTCCCTTGCAGCATAGTAATGTGCTGAGATAATGTTTCCACCCCTTCAGTAACATCTTAAGATGGCTCCCAGCAGAGCAATTTTTGCAGGTCTTATTCAGAAAGACTAGAGTATTATTAAAGACTATATAGTCAACATTCTAAAAGATGATAAGATGCTTCATCTATTTTCTACAAAATCCTGTCTTTTAATTATTTGTTCACAAATGTAGTAATTACTGCCAATAATGAAAAAGAGCATTTAAGTAGATTAACAATCCTTTATCTACTGTATAAGGGCATCTACTGTATTCAAATACCCATTTAAGCCAGAGACGTCTCTTTTAGCTATCATGTTGCACAATATTGTAGGTGTTTGTAAAGAAGGTGAATCTGTCACTGGCTTGTATCATTTTTGTATCGCTCTTTTTTATGAATTACAGTAATCTAAGGTTGTTCTCAAAGACACATTTAAATGTGTGTTTTTCTCACAAGTGTATTTAAAATTTGTGTATTCCCTTTAAGATAGATATTTACATATAGGCTTTGATTTGTGTAAATTGCCAAGAATTGCTTTGCAAGTGTGAAACTGAGGATTCAATTTTTATCTGCCCATTAATCAGGAAGACCCCACTCCTGATTTACGTTTAGGATCTCCTTTTTTATAATTTTATCTAAAATATCTGTGCTCGGCAATTGAATTGATAGGAAGAGCCAATTAGGCTCTTAAGAGCCGAGGTGGCACAGTGGTTAGAGTGCAGCACTGCAGGCTACTTCAGCTGACTTTTAGCTGCAGTTCGGCGGTTCAAATCTTACCAGCTCAGGGTTGACTCAGCCTTCCATCCTTCCGAGGTGGGTAAAATGTGGACCCAGATTGTTGGGGGCGATATGCTGACTCT